AATCCTTCGTAATAAGGTTATTCCTTTGGTGCGTGTTCAGTGGAGTCATCACAATGAGGCTGAGTCTACTTGGGAACGGGAGGATGTCATTCGCTCGCAATTTCCTGAAATATTGGAAGAAGGTAAGAGCGAATTCCAAGGACGGAATTCCTTTTGTTAGGAGGAAAAAATGTAATACCCCTAATTTTAAAAGGATAGTCTCGGCAGTTTATTATTTATTTTATTGCATTTTTATTTGTTTCATTATTAATTTGTTTAATTGTTTATTCGCATTTATTATTTGATTTTATTATTTGATATTTGACTTATTTGAATTAAATGGAATTAATTGTATTCTTTGTTTTATTTTTGCTAAATGAATTAAATGTTTTAATTTTAATTTGAAATTGGTTTAACTGTATTCTTTGGTCTATTGTTTTTAAGTGAATTTAATGTTTTAATTAGGTAACTTAGTTTTATTAATTGGTAGCGGACATAGATTTAATGTAGGTTTTGTTCTATGGGCCGACTAGGGTTTAACTTATATTAGGGTTTCTGTCTTGGATTACCATTGGACTTAGGTCATATTTGTGCCCATAAATACACGGTTATAGTCTGTAGTAAGGGTTGGAGAAACCCTATTGACGTACCAAAGCTACAGAGAGAAACAGAGGGAGGTTTTGAGAAAACAAAGCACGTTCAGTGAGGGTTTCGATTGTGGCTTAAAGGTCGGACCTAGGAGAAGGGAAGAGCTGGAGTAGTAGGAGGCTTGACAGTGTTCAGTATTGCCGGAAACTTTGAGACGACGCCGAGATTTCGTTACTGAAATCACAAGCAAGTTCTTTTTTTCCTTTCTCCCGTTGGCTCATGTTCTGTGCACCTAGATAGTCTCTAGGGTTTAATTGATCATTAACTGAAACTTACATGCTTATTATATGTTATAGTGATAATCAGTATGCGTTGAATAAATTCTGTTTCAGTTTTTGCATGTTTGAGTTTCAATTTTGTTCTTTAAGCATGTTAAATCGGTATGGTTGTAAGCACAATAATTGCTTTCAACTCTTGTAAAAAAAACATTGGGATGCTACTGGGATTATATAAGACTCTTCGGTTCAGTATTAAAGAGGAACAGAGGGGTTGGAATGGCTAGAGACGAAGCAGAATGGTCGAAAAAGGAAAAAACTAGACTGGAGGCTCTCAGACGAGGAGAGAGCCGGCTCCATGGAAGTGGGAGCCGGCTCCCACACTCATAGAGCCGGCTCCAAGAGTCATGGAGCCGGCTCCATGCACAAAAGAGCCTGCTCCCAAAGTTATGGAGCAGGCTCTCTCAATTTTTCCTTTTCTGAAGTTTTTGACGCACTGTATTGAGACTGTTTGAGGGTTGAACTGTTTTGATTAATTTTAGGACTTTACGGAGGGGTTAAGTAGTTAATTTAGGGTGTTATTAAGAACTCTAATTGATTAAGCTTTACCTCTAAGTTAATGGGACGAACGATATAAAATTAAACTATTTGTTTATGCTGTGAATGGATGGAAGGAAATTAATTGCATAATTAAATTTTAGCAATTGAATGGAATACAGTAGGATTATAAAACTTATTTTAAATGCCTGATAGGGTCATTTATTTATTAATTTTGATCTGTGCATGCTCTGGATGCTAATTGTTGAAATATTAAACCTTTTTATGTAATTGCATGGATTAACGCTTGGATTTTAATTGCTAAAATATTAGACATTCTTCTGTAATTATTGGGATAATGGTTTAGGACTGTAAATTGCTAAACTATTATTTATGTGTTGTAATTTACATGGATATGGAGGATTGTATGCACCGGTAGGGACGGTGGCATAGTAGGGATGGTTTAGCTCCAAACGCTAAGACCTAACCTATTGGATTAAAGAAAAGGATTGTAAAATATTGAATCCTAATTTTATTTAAGTCAGATCGACTGAGTAAGTTGAGTAACTATTTGGATTAATTGTTGTTTGTAATTAAGTCAGATCGATTGAGTAAGTTGAATGACTACCTGGATTTATTGTTATTCTCGGTTAAGTCAGATTGACTGAGTAAGTTGAGTGGCTAACCGGATTAGGAGTCTTATGTCAGATCCACAAAGAATTGAATGACATACTCTGGTTTTGGACGGACTTTATATATATGATTATGGTACCACGATATGAACTTGAGTCTCAGAGTCGATGGTTAGGGCGCATATATGCAGTGGATGCATAGCTGGTTATGATAGGTTGAGGTATACCCTGTTAGGCTTAGGTACTCATGCCCACTTAGGTGCGTTTTACATGTTACCTTCTATTCAAGTTGAAACCCCCTATATAATCCAGTGAATGTCCCTTTAGTGTGAATATATACATATATGGACTAGATAGCTATTATTAAGATATCTAGGGTGTATCTGCGTATTGGGTCACTGCATGGATTGTAGTTAGATTAGAATTTGTTTGTGGGCCTGACCCACTCTTATATTTTTTCAGGTATCGGACGGTTCCAGTCTTAGGACTTGTTCAGCGGAGCAAAGACGATCGTTCAATCTACTAACGACATAGGATTTCACTCCATGTTTTGGATTTGGATTTTATTTCCAATTGTTTTAGTTTTAGTTGGGATTTTATTTAGGAGTCCACCTGATGGATTCCCCAGTTGTACTTTTGGAGGTTTTTGAGGAGAGTTGGATTATTTAATCTTTATTATTTGAGAATTATATATTTTAGAATTCTTTCAGCTTTAATAATTATTTCTTAAATCTTTTTGTCATCTGTATTCATTTTAAAATATTAATTGTTTGATATTCCCTCGGGTTTGGACTTGGGCATGATTAACCCGTGTCTCGGATCCGAGGGGTATCACACCCCGTAACGTCATTTGGGGTCCAGATAGCTGAACTACGCTAGGGTAATTTTTTTAATTCCCTCTAGGTTACATTAACGCCACTGACCTTCAATACCCCTTCAGCGTCTGGGTTATTTCAAAACCACTTATCAAAACTTTTTTCCCCAAGCCCCTTTTTCATTTTAAAAGAATTCTTTCCCATTTTTTTTTTTTTTTTTTTTTTTTTTTTTTTTTTTTCTCTTTGCCTAATGCTATGCATGAATGTATCATGCTCTTCCATGCCATGTCAATGTCCATTACCATATATCTTATATAAACTTAATTCACATAGCATAATTTTACAAGAAATCCAAAGGAAATATCATGCTTTTTCATCATGAAATTTTGGCAAATTTTAAACATAATAGGCATAAAATATTATCAATTAAGCATACTTTTTATATAAATCAATTACTACACATAATCATGGATTCCATATACCATAATTAAATCATTTTAAAGATAATCAACTTAAATTAAGCATGCTTAACAACAAATATTAAAGAAAAATTCATAATGGTACAAGAAATTGGGAATTAGAAATCCTACCCTGAAAATGAATTTTTCTCTCTAGATCATCAAAGTCGCAAGCTCTCCCGGCCTCGTCTGTAACTCTCCACTATCTCCGTGCCTTCTCAATCTCGGCCTTCTCTATGCACTCTCGGCTCTCTCTCTCTAGATATATATATATATATATATATATATATATATATATATATATTCTTTCTGTTTGCATACTAAACTCACAAGACAAACACCTATAATATATGGATAATATTCCTCCGACACTCAACATTAGTGTACACCATATGCCTCCATCAACATCATTTCATATACCAACATCAGACAAGCCCACGTGCATAAAACCAAAGCACAAAGCAACTTTGCCCAAAAAGGTACCCAATGGGCCTCGCGAATGATCACAATCACATTTCCATTCTCCTTTTTTCTCTTCGGCTTGGTGCTCCCCCTCTTCTATCAGATTATATATGTATACTCCTTCTGTCCTATTTAGTTGTCAACTCCAAAAATTTTGAGTCAAAATTATCAAAATAGACCTCTAGTATGTGATATAGGTAGTATATAAATATATTAAAGGAATATGACTAAAAGTAACAGCGAATGATTCAAAAATAAAAGGTTGCAGTGAATCAAAATTTTTCAAATTAATAATTATTATGAAAAGGAGTTATATATATATCTTAGGTAAAGAAAATCATTTCAAAGTTCAAACCCATTCATCATCTTTAGGTGGGACCCGCAAACTATTATCTTTCTTCTTTCTCATTTCGCTGGCAGCCCTTGTTCCATCTGATGCACTATATATATATATATATATATAAATGCAGCACAAACCAAATCAATTTCTTCTCTATTTGTGGGTCCCGTAAAATCATATCAACATTATTAATCTCTTTCTTCTCCCATCAATTCGTCCACCTGCTCCTTCTTATCTCAATCCACAGATGCTATATATATATATAACAAAACTATATTTTCAAAAACAATCACTAATTAACAAAATATCAATAATTCAAAATCTCTAATTTAAAATTAAATATCCAATCTTGACTAAAAATTATGAAATAAATATAAATTAAAATTTTAAAAATCTGGATTGTCACAAGCTTGCTCTAAACTTGTAAACAACGAAAGACAAAAGGGTGAAGATAGATATTTACCGGGGAAAAAAGGGTGAAAATAGATGAGATGAGTATGCTACCACAGTCTGCAAATTGAAGAAGAATTCTCGATTCACTTCACTTTAATGCAAATAACCAAAGCCTGTGAAGTTTCTCGTGTCATTTTCAATGCTCAACTCACTCCTTTAGATGTTGTTGCTTTCCGCTTGTGACTATAATTATAGCAAATATGCTGAGTCTGTGAAGCTTCTCATGTAATTTTTAGTGCTCGAAAGTCACTTCTTTTACTGCCATCCAGTATTATCCATTCCATTCTGTAAAAGTATTAAAATCATAACCTCAGAAAAGCCTTTTGGGCAATACTCAGAGGAGTTGGCTTGCTTTTTATCCCTTTATTAAATTTTTCCGTAGTTGGTGAGCTGGTAGATTATTTCTCTTTTTAAGAGTTGTTTTAATTGATCTGTTAACGATGATATTGCTCTTTGCCTTGTAATGAACTCCGTTCGTCAGTTGGTAAATAATTGTTGTTTAACGTTTGCCTTCTCTCCAGGAATTATGGATTTCTAATTGTCTAGAGGGATGCAACATCCCACTGCCCTCGAGTCCCTGCGGATCTGCAACTGCCAAGAGCTTGATTTGTCACTTGGGGATGATAATGGCATGCAATTTCAAGGCCTCAGGAACCTAACATCTCTAGATATCATAGGATAACTGAAATTGTAGTCTCTTCTTTCGGGTCCCAACGCATCGCCACTCTGCAATCGCTTGCTATTCTTTTTTTGAACTTTGGAAATTCGATAAGTTTAACAAAGTGGATAGGCAAGCTCACATCACACCAAAATTTTTTGTTGTTTATTGCCTGAAATGGACATCACTGCATGAAGGAGTGTGTTCAAGAACTGCATATTAAGGGAAGATTGGCCTTAGATTTGCTCAAATCCCCCGAAGGTTTAAGTGCGACCATTATGCCGAAATATGGAAGGTATCCATCTTAATCTGAATATTAGATCCACCATAAAATTCGTCATCTTGTTTGGCTTTCCTCTCTTCTGTTCAAGTCTTAGTTGATCCTGTGTGTGTTCGATACAAATAAATAAGTTGGCTGATATGTTTCTGTAATGTTCTTCTTATATTTGAAAATCATATATCAATTTAATTTAATATTTTGTGACATGAAAAACGTCAATAGGATCCAAGAGGCCAGAGGTTCCACAGGGAAAGAAAGCAAGTTTTGTGTACAAGAACTGGATATTGAGTATTGCCCAGAGGAGTTAAAAAGATTGATGCTGCGAGGAAATAGAGGAAAATTGGCCTGACATTGCTCAAATCTTGAAGGTTTATGTGCGACTGTTATGCGAACTATGGAAGGTATCCATCTTAATCTGAATTATTATATCCACCATAAAACTCTTCATCTTGTTTGGTTTTCCACTTTTTGTTCAACTTTTAGTTGATTCTGTTTGTGTCCGATACAAATACACAAGTGGACAGATATGTTTCTGTAATGTTCTTATATTAGAAAATCATATATCAATTTGATTTAATATTTTGTGACATGAAAAACATAATTACGATCCTGTAACTTAAAATTTAATCTAATAATTTAATTGATATTTGAATTCAACCCTTTTAAAATATTTAAGTGTGACATCTCTTCTAAGAGGTCAGACGTTCCACTGAAAGGAAAGCAAGTTTTGTGTACAAGAACTGACAATTGGGTATCGTCTAGAGGAGTTAAAAGATGGATGCTGCGAGGAAATGGAGGACGATTGTCCTAAGATTGCTCAAATCCTGAAGGTTTATGTACAACTGTTAAGCGGAAATATATATGGAAGGTATCCATCTTATTCTGAATATTATATTGACCATAAAAGCTTCATCTTGTTCGATTTTCCTCTCTTTGTTCGACTTCTAATTGATTTTGTTTGTGTTCGATGCAGATATATAAGTGGACATATATGTTTTTATAATGTTCTTATATTATTTATCCTGAATCATGTTCTAATTATAATAGAAAATCATATATCAATTAGATTTAATATTTTGTGACATGAAAAACATAATTAGGATCCTGTAACTTGAATTTTTTCTAATAATTTAATTGATATTTGAATTCAATCCTTTCAAAATAATTGGGTGTGACATCTCTTCTAAAGGTCAAACATTCCACAGGAAAAGAAAGCAAGTTTTGTGTACAAGATCTGGATATTGGGTATTTTCTAGAGGAGTTAAAAAAGACGGATGCTGCCAGGAAATGGAGGAAGATTGGCCTAAGTCTACTCAAATGTTGAAGGTGTATGTGCAATCGTTATGCCGAAATATGGAAGGTATCCATGTTAATCTGCATACTATGTTAACCATAAAAGCTTCATCTTGTTCGGTTTTTCTCTCTTTGTTCAACTTCTAATTGATTCTGTCTCTGTTCGATATTGATATTTAAGTGGACATATTTGTTTTTGCAATGTTCTTCTTATATTAGAAAATCATATATCAATTTGATTAAATATTTTATGAAATGAACAGCATAATTAGGATCCTATAACTTAAAATTTAATCTAATAATTTAATGATATTTGAATTCAATCCTTTTAAAATAATTGAGTGTGACATATCTTTCAAGAGGTCAAACGTTCTGCAGAAAAGAAAGCAAGTCTTGTGTACAAGAACTGGATATTGAGTATTGTCTATAGGAGTTAAAAGATGGATGTTGCGAGGAAATAGGGGAAGATTGGCCTAAAATTGCTCAAATCCCGAAGGCTTTTCTGCGAATGTTATGCCGAAATATAGAAGGTATCCATCTTAAACTGAATATTAGATATATTCACCATAAAATTCTTTATCTTGTTCAACATTTATTTGATTCTGTATGTGTTCGATACAAATACATATATGGGTAAATATATTTCTCTATGTTCTTCTTATATTAAAAAATCATATATCATTTTGATTTAATATTTTGTGACATGACCAACATCATTAGGATCCATGAGGTTAGAGATTCCACATGAAAATTAAGAAAGCAAGTTTTGTGTACAAGAATATCAAGTATTTTGTCTAGAGGACCTTAAAGATTGATGATGCTGCGAGGAAGTTTGGCCGAACATTGCTCAAATCCTGAAGGTTTATGCGCGACGGTTATATAGAAATATTGAAGGTATCCATCTTAAACTGAATATTAGATTCACCTTAAAATTGTTTATCACGTTCGGCTTTCCTCTCTTTGTTCAACTTTTAATTGATTCTGTATGTGTCCGATACAAATACACAAGTGGGTAACTATATTTGTGTATGTTCTTCTTATATTAAAAAATCATATATCATTCTAATTTAATATTTTGTGACATGACCAACATCATTAGGATCCATGAGGTTAGAGATTCCACATGAAAAGAAAGCAAGTTTTGTGTACAAGAAATATCGAGGATTTTGTCTAGAGGAGCTAAAAGACTGATGTTGCGAGGAAGATTGGCCTAACGTTGCGAGGAAGATTGCTCAAATCTTTGTGTACGACGCAGAAATATGGACGGTATCCATCTTAATCTAAATATTATATCCATCATAACATGCACTCTTCATCTTGTTCGGTTTCCCTCTCTTTGTTCAACATCTAGTTGATTCTGTATGTGTTCAACACAAATACGTAAGTGGACATATATGTTTTAATAATGTTCTTCTTGGATTAGAAAATTATAATATCACTTTCATTTCATATTTTGTGACATGAACAACATAATTAGGATCCTATAATATAAAATTTAACCTAATGTATAGTATTATATATTTTTCTTTCTTTCTTCTCCGGTACACTTACAATAGTTTATGTGACGTTTCGCAATTTTTCGTTTTTCAAATTTTAGAGATTTTTCGATTTTTCTGAATCTGTTTATTCATCGTCTCATTTTGCATGCCGTGCACCATGGGATGTGCTGTGTGAGTTCCGAGAGTTGGTTGGGGCATTTCTTCGAGTCCAGAACTCTTAGAAATGCATTGTTGGCCATTTTGACATTTTTTGAATATTCGGGCCGGGAGGTCCTGGGCGGGACTCACACTCGGATTTTTCGTGCACGGGATTATGTTTCGGCATCATTACACTTTATAAATTTTTATTTGGAGTATATTTGTGTGACTAAGTGTAACGACCCGAGAATCTGAATCGCTAACTGGGTCTTTACCCGAACCCGATGTCACCTAAGTCCATACCATCATATCCAATGTCAATGAAAACAATATGTAACATTCTAGAATCAACAACTTTCTCAAAATAGTCCATCATCATCCTATTCATCTAGAACATAGAAGTACCTATCTTATACACAGTCCCGTACTCACATACAAGAATTGTACTCCAATTACATCAACTTACAGTCTATTAAACATAATTACAATGACAAAAGTTCATAAGTCTCAGTACTGAATACAACAAGCTAAGTTTTTACAAAAGATCAATATTCTATTTACAAAGGATAACAAAATACACAGACTTTGGCTACAAAATAGCAAAATAAACTTCTAGTCCAATTTAAACCTACTGTGGAACGTCATCAACCACTTCCTTTTCGTGTCCTTAAAATGATAGAAATAAGGGGTGAGCACAACGGCTCAGTAGAAGTTGCCTAAGGCGTCAGCTTTAGACTCCTTTGAGCCACGTAACACATAAAGGAATGGAAAAAAAATCGGCGTCATGCATTGGGAGTCCATATAATATTTACATCACAACAAGCATTGTCCTCAGTCACACAACACAATTCAATAATGTAACGACCCAAACCCGTAGGTCCAAACCGTTAGCCGGGTTCTTACCCGAACCTGAGGTCAATTAAGGGTATTACCGTCCTTTCCTAAGTCAATGCATAACCCGTACCTCATCCCAAGGCCCACAAACACCTTAAATTCCAACAACACAGGAGAAACACAACTACAGATGCAAATGACAGAATCAGCCAGCTGACAGCCATATACCGGCCTGCTGAAACACAAGGATCGGTCGGCTGATAGAAATGATCATGTGACGACCCGAACCCGGGGGTCCGAATCGCTAACCGGGTCCTTACTCGAACCTGAGGACACATTTGGGGTAAAATGGTCATTTTACAATAAGTATGGATAATCTGACCTTAAGCTAGTCAAATGAAGTTTAAAACAAACATTCTAGTCATTCCATGACTTTTTGAAGAGGCTCTACGGTCATTGGTCATGATTTCCCAAAAGTGCCCTTACTCGGTCCAAGGGAAATTCCGAAACTATCCTACTAAAACAACCATATCTCTCAACATGAAAGGAATTTGAAGGTGAAGTTGGTCTCATTGGAAATTTAACTCAAAAGCTTTGAAAATGGACTCAAGAATGACCCTATTTGGGTTTGGAACGAAGAAGTTATGACCACATGAAGTCAGGTGATCCAAGTTGCCAAATTGTGAAAGCCAAAAAGTGCATTGGAGGACTTAAACCAGTTTCACATGGGTAGAATGCCCAAACGTGAAACAATTACACCCTTGAATTGGTTCTATGAAAGTTGAATCGGTTTCAGAAGACCAAAACCTTGAAAAATGTCCAGAAAAGCGGTCATGGATACCTCTTAGGTCCTATGGAAGGTCATTTGGGTACTTTCCAACCTACTCAAACATGATATATATAAGACTATAATGACAACAAAATGGAACCCATACATCATTTGAAACATTCATATCCTGTTATAGTCAAAACAATAACATGCTTGATTTAATGCATCAATAAAACAATGGCCTTACATTCCCTTAAAATGATTACAAAATATTACAAGTTCATACTATGCTTTACATAAAAAAAAAAAAAAAAATCTTTGTTACAAGGGATGATCAAAGTGATCAATATGCCAATGTCTAAGCTAGTAAGTACACCCCATCCTCCATCTTGCTTCCAAAACCCTAAAAATGTATATAAATAAGGGGTGAGCACCACCGCTCAGTAGAGAATGCCTAAGGCATGGCATCTAAAGCCAAGTGAGTAAACACATAAGGAAAAGGAGGTCAAGACAAGGGGTTATGCTATTATGGGAAAAATAATAAAAGCTTATCAATATATGGCATTAACAACAACAATTTGCAAATAGCATAACCATATAAACACATAAACAAGTCCATCAAGTGCCATCAATGCAACCAATGCTTATACCATGTCTTATCTCTAAACTAACCCCAAGACCTCTTCCTAAGCACACTTGCCCCATCCCTTTTAACCCAAACCATTTAACCACATTCACACCATATCCCACTAACTCTAAATGGCACAAGCCAGCCGTTTGTCCACTATTTGGTCCACCGGCTAGCTATCCCTGGCATAAGGCTACCTCTCATCGGCCATTTGAGGCCTAGCTACCGAAAACTTGGAAACAAGGCAACCGCTTGTCTTCCGTCGATCACAAACTTTCTCAACATACATCTCATCCTTCTCACATCACCCCTTTCCTTCGCTACTTTCTCTACCAAATGCATGAGCTAAAATGCCTCCAAGAATGCATCTAGCTAGCCTCATGAAATTGATAAGTGCCAAATACTGCATATTTAAGGGCCCTTAATTACATTAGTTAAGCCCATTATTTGATCTGTTTATATAGATTAACTACATTTTTATGTTTTTGTGTTTTTGCAAGCCTTATTGCTAAAAAGGAATAAGAATAAAGTTTTAAAGGGTTTTTGAAGCATAAGTCATATTAGGCCTACATTCCAAGTGATCATCAAAGGAAAATGACATGAAGAGGCGATGGATACAACTAGAGCTAAAGAGACAAGCTTGTGTCAGAGTAGAAAGCCTGGCGTCCGGACGCAAGAAATGGCGTCTGGATGCCATCCTCTAGCAACTCGCGTCCGGATGCCACATCTTCCAGCAGCTCGCGTCCGGACGCCATTCTTCGCGTCCAGACACCAGACCATGGGCCCTCATTTTATTTAGGTCCGATTTTGTCTATCTTGAGTTGGGATTCAAATTTGAAATGCGGGATTTGGTATTTTGAACTCACGGGAGGATAAAATAGGGGAAGAGGCTGGAAGAAAGGAGTCTTGATTTTGTTTTGGGAGACAGATAGAGAGAGAGGGAGGATTTTTAGGGTTCTTGGAGGTTGAGCTTGTAACAATGTTGAGAGAAGGGAATTCTTTCTCTTTTTCAATTATGGAGGTTGTTACCATATTCATGAGAGGCTAAACCCCTTCTCTAAGGAGTTGATGTAACCTAGGCCAAGTAAACATGTTTTGATTTGTATTTCAATTTGGGGATGATTATTGTATATATTCATTTTCATAAATTAGAAGTATTTGCATTGACTTGATGTATGTTACATTGAATTGATGCATGTGCTATCATATGAATATATGTTCGTGTTGATTTGTTTTCTTGTCTTAGAAATCATATTGATACAAATATTACATTTGATTTCCTATAGTGACAATTGGAAAGAATTTATGGAATGGTTATATTGGTATGAAATTGAGCATTTATAAATGTTATACCTAAGGAAGATGGACCATGCTACTCCTTTAGATTAATGTAGTTAGGTAGATGGTCCATACCAACTGAAGATAATCTATGATATTTAATTAATTTCATGTGCTGCAACATATAATTGCAGGACCTTGATACGCCATGCCTAGGGAAGATGATTCATACCACAACCTAGTTTAGGTGGATGAACCATGCTAACCAAAGATGGGTTATGCTTAGTCCTGAAATGTATGATCTTCTTGACGATGTTGTGGTAGTTTTATGCTTCTACACATCATTTTATATATATAATTGTAAATCCCCAAGTTGAATGCAAGTTTAACATGTTTGCGTGGTTAAGGTGAAGTCAATTCCCTAGCTTTTTCTTTATAAGTTCAATCCATTTTTATTTATTGTTTTATAAAAGTTAAATTCGTAAGTTAAGTGACAAACCAATCAATTTATCATTTATTTTATCAAATAGAGGAAATAGTTTTATAATTCTGTTTGCCATAAACTAGCAATCCTTGTGGTTCGATAACCCCCTACTCTAGCATTAATCTGCAATGATGAATATGCTATTATTATAAGTGGTATTTTTAAGTGGTACACATTTGTGCACATCAACCTTTTGGCGCCGTTGTCGGGGATTGCAAACGGTTTTATAATCAGAATTTAAAAATTGCTTCATTATTTGATTGTATATATCTTTTCATGTGTTTTGATGTTTTGGTGTTGGTAGGGACTAAAGACTTTCCAGAAGGTTTAATTGCAAAATTTGAAGTCTTAAGGACTTTAGGTAAGTTTTTGAAATTCCTAGTTATATTTTGTTGGCCCTTGTCGAGGCTATTGCAAATTTATTGTTTTATTCAGAGCTTAGGTCATTGTCGTGGCCAATTTAATTTGTTTAATTATTATTGAATTGAGGAGAACGGGACCAAATGTAGATGTATTGGTGAAGGGTTGTTGTGATAGTTGTGTTTGATGGTTGATGGTAGGATGTAGATTATTGTCTTTACCACATCTTGAGGAACCAATTGATATCGCTTTACTTGAAAGAACTCTTAGGCAACAAAGAAGGAACATTAGAGATCCTGAAATTTTAAGAGAACTTGAAATTGAAGTAGATAAAATGGCTAATGAACATGATAATCTCGGAAATCCTAATGCTGAAAATGAAAATTTAGCACCAATGACTCTTAGGGACCATTTTGTACCCTCTACATACATATCTCCATCATGCATTGTCATGCCTAATGTTGAGGCCCATCATTATGAGATCAAATCTACCACAATTCAAATGCTTCCAACATATCACGGGTTTGATAATGAGGATCCTTATAAACATCTTGATGAATTTTTGGAAATCTGCTCCATTATCAAGATAAGGGATTTTCCCCAAGATGTACTTCATATGCTTCCCTTCCCATTCTCTTTGAAAGATAGAGCAAAATATTGGTTGAACTCTCTTGTTGCTAATTCCATCACTTCATGGGTCCAATTGCAACACGAATTTCTTAAAAGTATTATCCTGTGAGTAAAACCAATCAAACATGTTGTTCTATTCTAAGTTTCTCCCAAATTGATGGGGAAATATTTTATGAGACGTGGGAGAGACTTCAAGATTTTCTGAGGAAGTGTCCGCATCACCAAATTCCAAAGTGGCAATTGGTACAAGCCTTCTATGATGGTTTGATAGAACCACATAAACAATTAATTGATTCTTCATGTGGGGGCATGTTTGTGTCCAAAAATCCAGATGATACATGGACTCTACTTGAGAACATAAGCAAAAATTCTATGTAACATGGTTCTCGTAGAGCTTCTACATCAAATGTGATTAAACCCTCAAATCCATGTCAATCACGACCTCTTAGGGAAGAATCTTCTCAAGTGGATGCTATAGCTCACAAAGTTTTTTAGCTTGTGGCACCATATCTCTCATCTTCTCAAAATTCTTTATCAAGTGCCATGTGTGCACATTGCATGAGTACTTTCCATAATGCAGAAGATTACCCCACACAGGAGCAATTTTCTAAAAGTATGCCAGAATAGGTAAATGTCATGTTCTCTTACCCTGGAAATAATCCTTATTCCAATACATACAATCCGGGTTGGAGAGATCATCCAAATTTGTCGTGGAGGCAACAAGCCCCACAAAATTCATCATTCCAAGGTCATGGACAATCAAATCAATCTAATTCTCAGTCCATGAACCGGCCATTTCAAGCTTCTTCAAACTATCGTCCTCCTTCCTGTAATGCAAAATTTTCAAATCAGAATCATGTTCCTTCACAACAGTCTCAATTGGATAAGTTAATAAATTCCAATAAGCAGATAATGGCTACTCTTAGTGGTTTGCAATCAACTGTGCAATTGATTAATACTTACTCTCAATTAATAGCTAATATTGAAACCCAACTGGGACAAATGGCTAATTCAATAAATCCATTTCACAAACTTCCAACTCAAACTGTAGTGAACCCGAAAGGGCAGTATATGATTAATGAGATCACTCCTCCGAGTGGATCAAATATTAAGCAAGTTAAAACAATCACCACACTTCGGAGTGGAAGAGTTGTGGACAATAAGGTTTATGAAAAAGCTGGAATTCTTACCCCCAATGATTCAAGGTAGTTCTCCTAAGGCCATCATCGATTTACTCCATCATCACCATTCTTCATCTAAAAATCTAAAAGATAGTCCAGAAATTCCAAATCCGCCAATCCAAAATGTTGAGACATCTTATGAGCCAAAGGCTCCTTTTCCTCAGTGCCTCATAGAGTCCACACATTTTGGGAAAAAGGGCGATAAAATTCAGGATATGTTTGAAGTCTTTAAGCAAGTAAAGATCAACATTCCTCTCCTTGATGCCATTAAGCAAATTCCACCTTATGCAAAATTTCTTAAAGATTTGTGTACTCAAAAACGCATTTCTAAGAGCAATATTCCAAAGAATGTGAGGTTAACTGAGCAAGCGAGTGCTATCATTTAACATAATACACCTCCAAAGTTTAAGGATCCGGGTGCCCTGACAATCTCATGTGTCATTGGAGACAATGAGATAGAAAATGACTTCCTTGACTTAGGATCAAGTGTAAATCTGATTCCTTACTAAGTATACTTACAGCTTAGCTTAGGAGAACTTAAATCCACTTCAGTTGTTTTACAACTTGCAGATAGATCTGTAAAGCGACCTCTTAGTATCATTGAAGATGTACTTATCAAGGTGGACAATTTCTACTTTCTAGTAGACTTTGTGGTTCTAGATACTGAACCAGTCCATAATCCAATAAAACATATCCCTGTGATCCTTGGTCGGCCTTTCTTAGCCACTGCTAATGCTTTAATTAATTGCCTAATAAGGGTGATGGATATTTCTTTTGGAAATATGAAGGTAAAGCTTAACATCTTTAGTGCTTCTCAACATCCTCAAAGGGAATATGAGTGTTTCTCTCTTGACATCATTGATGAAATGGTTGAAGAATTTCTCTAATTTATTTTAAGTCAAGATCCTCTTGAGACTTGCTTGGCTCATTTTGACTTTGAAAATTATGATATTGATTAATCCATTTGTGAGGTCAACACTTTGCTTGAAGCCAATGTAATCTCGGACTTTCCTCCTTGGAAAGTGCCAAATGAATCTCTTCTATTAATTTCCAACACTCCTTCTGTCCCTTAATTCATTGAAATCTCCACCTTAACTTGAGTTAAAGCTACTTCCGGTCAATCTCAAGTATGTATTTCTTGGTGTAAACAAAACTCTTCCGGTCATCATTGCATCGAATCTTTCAAAAGATCAAGAAAATAGCCTTCTAGCAGTGCTACAAGAGCACAAAGAAGCTATTGGTTGGTCGGTGGCTGATTTAAAAGGAATTAACCCTTCTATTTGCATGTACCGCATTCTTTTGGATGAAGAAGCTAAACCTTCCCAAGAGGTGCAGCGTCGGTTGAATCCAAACATAAAAGAGGTTGTCATGAAAGAGATAATTAAGCTATTAAATGCGGGAATCATTTACCCATCTTGGATAGCAAGTGGGTGAGTCCAACTCAAGTTGTTCCAAAAAAGTCTGGCCTCACTGTTGTTAAAAATTCAACGGGAAAACTCGTGCCACAACATACTACCACTAGTTGGCGTGTGTGCATTGATTACAGGAAATTAAGCTCTGTAACTAGGAAAGATCATTTTCCACTCCCATTCATTGATCAAATCCTAGAGAGATTAGCTGGTTAGAGTTACAATTGTTTTCTTGATGGTTATTCTGGTTATAACCAAGTGGCTATAGATCCTCACGATCAAGAGAAGACCATCTTCACTTGTCCTTTTGGAACTTTCGCTTATCATCGCATGCCCTTTGGGTTGTGCAATGCGTCGGCCACTTCTCAAAGATGCATGATATCCATATTTTCTAATATGGTCGAAAAATTTCTTAAAGTATTCATGGATGATTTTTCTGTCTTTGGATCTTCTTTTGACTCTTGTCTTCATAATCTGTCACTCGTCCTTCAAAGATGCAAAGAATCCAATCTGATTTTAAGTTGGGAAAAGAGTCACTTTATGGTATAAGAAGGGATTGTATTGGGACATATTATCTCTAAAAGAGGGATTGAGGTCGATAAGGCAAAAGTTGAATTAATTTATAGCCTTTCTACTCTCTCTTCAGTGAGACAAATTCGATCTTTTCTTGGTCATACAGGCTTTTACCGCCATTTCATTAAAGATTTTAGTAAGATATCTCGAGGCTTTTACCGCCATTTCATTAAAGATTTTAGTAAGATATCTCGACCTTTATGCCATCTTCTTGAAAAGGACACTAACTTTGACTTTGATGAAGCATGTTTGGAAGCTTTTAAGAAGCTTCGTTCGCTACTTTCTTCTACCCCAGTCATGAAACCACCTAACTGGTTTCTCCCCTTTGAGATCATGTGTGATGCATCCGATTATGCATTAGGTGCTGTTTTGGGCCAGCGTGTGGATAAAACTCCTCACGCTATTTACTATGCTAGTAAGACTTTGTCAGATGCTTAAATGAATTATACAACAACTGAGAAAGAATTGCTAGCAGTTGTCTATGCCTTGGATAAATTCCATTCATATCTGCTTGGATCCAAGGTTATCATTTTCACGGATCATGCGCATTAAGACATCTACTTACGAAGAAAGAGACCAAACCTCACCTCATTCATTGGATACTCTTACTCCAAGAATTCAATATTGAGATTAAGGACAAAAAAGGAACTGATAATGTAGTTGCAGACCATCTTTCTAGGCTTCTTATTGAGAACACTTCTGATTTATATTCAGTTCATGACTCCGTTTTTGGATGAACAATTGTTCCAGATTTCTCATGAGTCACCTCCTTGGTTTGCTGATATTGTCAACTATCTTACGGTTGGAAAAACTCCATCAAAATGGTCTAAACAAGAGAAAGACTGGTTCTTCGCTCAAATCAAAAATTTCTTTTGGGAAGACCCGAAATTGTTCAAGTATTGCACGGATCAAATAATCCGGAGATGTATTCCTGAATTTGAAGTCCAAAACATTTTGAAATTCTGCCACACTCTTGAATATGGAGGACATTTCAGTGCCAAAAAGACTTCATATAAAGTCCTTCAGAGTGGATTTTATTGGCCTTCATTATTCAGGGATGCTTATAACTTTTGCAAGTCTTGTACGCAATGTCAAAAGCTTGGGGCTATGTCTAAAAGGGATATGATGATATTGAACTCCATTTTAATCATCGAAATCTTTGATGTCTGGGGAATAGATTTTATGGGACCATTTCCATCTCCATATGGTTATATCTACATTCTCCTAGCAGTGGATTATGTATCTAAGTGAGAAGAAGCTGAGGCAACCATAACCAACGACCATACTGCAGTGGTCCAGTTCATTCAAAAGAATATATTCAGTCGATTTGGCATACCTCGAGCACTCTTAAGTGATGGAGGATCTCATTTTTGCAATCGTTATTTTCGATCTGTTCTCCTTAAATACTCTATCAGTTATAAGGTTGTCACGCCTTACCATCCTCAATCAAGTGGTCAAGTGGAAGTTTTTAATCGGGAAATCAAGCATATTCTTGAAAAAATGGTTCGACCGGACCGCAAAGATTGGTCATTACGACTAAATGATGCACTTTGGGCCTACCAAACTGCGTTTAAGATGTCAATTGGCATGTCACCATACTGGATTGTTTACGGTAAGGCATGTCATCTTCCGGTTGAATTAGAACATCATGCATTTTGGGCCATTAAATGGTTTAATTTTAATCTTGATCAGGCTGGCTCTAACAGAAAATTACAGCTCAATGAGATAGATGAAATCCGGAATGAGGCTTATGCAAATGCAAAAATTTATAAAGCAAAGACCAAAGCATTCCATGATAAACATATCACTAAGAAGTCTTTTACTTCAGGTCAAAAAGTTTAGCTTTTCAATTCCAGATTGTAACTTTTCCCAGGGAAACTTCGATCACGCTGGGAAGGTCCTTTTCTGATCACTTCTGTATTCTCTTATTGTGCAGTTGAGCTGAAAGACCTGAAGAATGGGAATCTTTTTTAAGGTTAATGGTCAGCAGCTTAAGCCTTACATTGATAACTTAGTCCTGGTTGGATATATGGATTCTATTATCTTAACAGATCCAATTTATAAAGACTAAAAGGATTCCCATAATGTTTAGCTATCGACATTAAATTTAGCATTCCAAGGAAGCAATTCTTTCTATTCTAAGCTTCTTTCTCTACTTGTTATCATAAACCAAAAATTCTCTACAAATGGTTAAATAGAATTCCCACTTCATATTCTTTAAGAATCATTTACATGTCCATTCAAGTGGCCATAGTGGGTCTCTATAGTCATACAACGGTTTGATAACATTTTTGGGTGTCTTTGATCAGCAATTCACAAAAGCTACAGTAGCACTCGCGTTCGGACGCCATCCCTAGCATCCGAAAGCCAATTATAGCCTCATCTCGCGTCCTGACGCCACCACCGACGTCCAGACGCCGACACCTGATGCTTCTCGCGTCCGGACGCCACCACCAGCATCCGGACGCCAATGCAGCACCTTCAACCCTCAGCGCCCACAATCGAGCATTCAGCGCCCCACTACAGTTCGTGTCCGGACGCCATGGCTTGCGTCTAGACGAGAAGGCCTATTTGAAGGGACCTGAGTCCAGTCTTATGTTTATAACTTGCTACCCTCTTTTTACAATTGCATATCCTCATTTCCATCCTCAAACCCTACGTGTAAAACCTTCCAACCCTACCTTACCCACCTTCTCTAATTTGTCTTTAACCTTCCCAATCTCCATTTTTCATCAAATAATCCTCTTTCATCATCCTCCTCCATCATCATCATTCAATCAAAGAGGGCAAGGTTTCCATCTCCAAATTGAGGTAAGTTCTTTCCTTTTCAATCTTTCAATTCTAGAATTATTCATAGAGATGAAGGTTAGAACTTAATCATGTGGGAAATTAATTCTATTTAAAGTGAAGAAAGGTTGTGTTTTCATTCTAGATCCACGATTGTAGATTCAAATAATCTAATCTTCACAAGTGTTCTCTACTTTTCAGTCTTGCACACCATGTGTTCGACAAAAGTCCTGAACCAACTTCTTTCACTCAAATGGCTTCTTCTTCTGCTTCTAAGCGCCCTCCTGTCTCGAATGACTCTTATGAAGACACTCCTACTCCGGATTGGTCTAAATGGCCTCTTCAATTTGAAACTACATTTGATGTTAGGAATGTCTTTCGTAGACATGTTGATACAGACTGGCAGTAAAAAATCTTAGGAAACGGGGATTAACATCCATTTTTCAGCCATGTCATAATGTGGTTCATCCTCGTTTAGTTCGTCAGTTTTACTAGAATCTTTCAAACAAACTGCAGGAACCAACCAAGGTTTTCACTGAAATTGATGGCACCATGTGTTTGGTTACATTAGAGGATATTGTGGATGTCTAATCGACTCACCAATCGATGTGGACGGTTAACCTCTCTTTGCTCATCTACCAGATATTATTGATTTATTAGATGACCTCACCGATGTTTTGAAAGAAGTAGCGTATAGTAATCTCAAAAGTTTAGATAGCACTTCCCCTAAAAGATCTTTCGTTCCACCCCGAATTTGGTTCATTGAGGTTTTACTGGCTACAAATGTTCTTCCAATTGGGAAACCTACAGCAAATAACAGTGTTCTTTTGGATTGTCTTTCTTCCACAGAGAATGAATTTTGGTTTTCAGTTCCCACTTTGATTATGAATCAAATCCTAAAGGTTTATAACAAATTGATTGTCCGCAGAAAGGAAAGTTCTATGACTTGGTCATTTCCATTTCCTTATCTCATCACGAAGCTGATTAAGAACCAAGGGTTGGTTATTCCATCTAATGAGAAGCGGGAAACTATAAAGAAGGTTTACAATTTCAAAGATTGGAAGGAGCAACTTCTTGCTCGAACTGGTGAAATCGATGGATGATCATGCTCCAAACGGAGCCGACACTTCACCCTCCAATTTGTAGGGTGAACTGGATCTCTTTAGTTTTATTTAGTCGTGTTATTTACTTTTGTTTTGTGTGATTTGAATAATTTTAGGACTTGGGCCATGTTTGGCATGACATTTGTGGGTGCACTTTTTGATGTGCATATATTTTGGTTTTCTTTCCCAGTTTTGAATAAAGTATGACGTAGTACTTTATATTTATATCTTTATAAATGTCTATGCTTTTATGCTTGGTGTATAGTTTTTTCTGAACAGATTATTAGGTCCAAGTTTAGGGGAAGATATTTCGCTGTTTCACTACCAATGGTTGCACTGAAGTCCAAGATTCGCACTTGGTAGTTTATCTCTTTTTACACTTCTATACATGCTTAGTTTCTATACTTGTTTTCATACATTGAGGACAATGTATCATTTAAGTTTGGGGGTGTTGAGAATAGGCAGATTGTCATTATTGAATATGGTTGAATTGTTTATAGTAAAAAAAAATAATAATAATAAAAAAATAAAAATGTTTAGGCAAAGGACTTTTGGCATTGTTGGAACTAAGTTTGGGGGGGAATTTATGTGATTAATATAGCCTATATGCTTATATAGGATATCAAGGAATGATTGAAAGTTGTCAGCATGATTGTTCAAATGAAAAAGGTCCATTGCATGATTTAAATATTTTATTTTGGAGTCTTTCGTCTCTAAGTGACTTCACAATGCACATTGAGCACACCGAAAATTGCATTCCCCTCCTTGTGGTTTTACTTAATTGACTCCCTGAATTAGTAAGTCGGATAAATGAAATAATCCTTGGCATATTGAAAAAAAAAAAAGAAAAAAAAACTACATTCTTTTAACATGTCAACTGATTAAAAAGGAAGACAAGGAAAGAATGTAAGACATATGATTAGTTTGAGTTTGTAGCCTAGCCATTCTGAGTTATTACGCCCTTAGGAGTGTCTTTACACTTAATGCCATAAGACCATCTGCTTTGGGAGTCGTTGGCTCAACACTTGTTACATGGGGTGGTTAGAGAGTTTAAGGAACTTAGACATTGCACATGGTCATACATAAAAAATAAAATAAAAACCCACAAAATGTGTTCAAATAAATGTATACCTTGGATTATGATTTCAAAAGATAGATTAAGGATGGGAAAATGTTAAATGAGCCATAAAAGGGTTAAAAGTACATTTTAAAAGAAAATGAAATTTCGGTTCACTTCTAAGGATCTTAAGATGAAATTCTATTATAAATGAGATGTTGAAGATCATGTATGTGGACTAGTCTGTTGATGCATGAGGGCTAGAAATTGAATATTGTTTTGAGATGTCATTGTATGCATACTTGTTGTAGTCTTTTTTATAGAGTTTTCCCCAAAGTCATATGTTTCAATGTATACTAGAATGAGCCTTGTTGCTTAGTGTTTGTGGGTATCATTTCTGGTACACCCTCACGAGACTGAACTCGTCCTCTAGGGATACCTAGGGGTTTAAAAGGCTTGTTGTATATGCTAAATACAATCGTCACTTCCATGAAAGAGGAGAAGTCTGTGTTGCAATTTTATTTTGCTAAGGGACTAGCAAAATGCAAGTTTGGGGTCTGATAAGCGTCAAATATTGCATATTTAAGCGCCCTTAATTACATTAGTTAAGCCCATTATTTGATCTATTTATATAAATTAACTACATTTTTATGTTTTTATGTTTTTGCAGGCCTTATTGCTAATAAGGAATAAGAATAAAGTTTTAAAGGGTTTTTGAAGCACAAGTCATATCAGGCCTACATTCCAAGTGATCATCAAATGAAAATGACATGAAGAGGCGATGGAAATAACTGGAGCTAAAGAGAGAAGCTTGTGTCAGAGTAGAAAGCCTAGCATTCGGATGCAAGAAATGGCATCCCGACGCCATCCTCCAGCAGCTCGCTTCCAGACACCCATTCTGGCGTCCAGATGCCACATCCTTCAACAGCTCATGTCCAGACACCATTCTTCGCTTCCGGACATGAGCCCACGGGCCCCCATTTTATTTAAGTTCAATTTTGTCTATCTTGAGTTGGGATTCGAATTTAAAATGTGGGATTTGGTATTTTAAACTCACGGGAGGATAAAAGAGGGGGAGAGGCTGGAAGAAAGGAGTCTTGATTTTGTTTTGGGATAAAGATAGAGGAGAGGGAGGATTTTTAGGGTTCTTGGAGGCTGAGCTTGCAACAATGGTGAGAGAGGGGAATTCTTTCTCTTCTTCAATCATGGAGGTTGTTGCCATATTCATGAGAGGCTAAACCCCTTCTCTAGGGAGTTGATGTAGCCTAGGCCAAGTAAACATGTTTTGATTTGTATTTCAATTTGGGGATGATTATAGTATATATTCAGTTTCAATCATGGAGGTTGTTACATTGACTTGATGTATGTTGCATTGAATTGATGCATGTGTTATCATATGAATATATGTTCGAGTTGATTTGTTTTCTTGTCTTAGAAATCATATTGATACAAATATTACACTTGATTTCCTATAGTGACAATGGGAAAGAATTTATGGAATGGTTATATTGGCAAGAAATTGAGCATTTATATAGGTTATACCTAAGGAAGATGGACCATGTTACACCTTTAGATTAATCTAGTTAGGTAGATGGTCCATACCAACTGAAGATAATCTATGATATTTAATTTAATTTCATGTGCTGCAACATACAATTGAAGGACCTTGATAGGCCATGCCTAGGGAAGATAGTTCATACCATAAACTAGTTTAGGTGGATGAACCATGCCAACCATTGATGGGTTATGCTTAGTCCTGAAATGTGTGATCTTCTTGACAATGTTGTGGTAGTTTTATACTTCTACACATCATTATATATATATAATTTTAAATCCCCAAGTTGAATGCAAGTTTAACATGTTTGCGAGGTTAAAGTGAAGTCAATTCCCTAGCTTTTTCTTTATAAGTTCAATCCATTTTTATTTATTGTTTTATGAAAGTTAAAATCATTTCTTTTATCAAATAGAGGAAGTAGTTTTATAATTCTGTTTGCCATAAACTAGCAATGCTTGTGGTTTGATAACCCCCTACTCTAGCATTAATTTGCAATGATGAATGTGCTATTGTTATAAGTGGTATTTTTAAGTGGTGCACATTTGTGCACATCAGAAATGAACATATCAATATACATCATAAAAAAAAAACATAACACACTAGCATGCTCCTACAATACAAGATTGAAGCATTCAACTCACATAGTCCATTTAAAAACCATAAAGCATGCTTAAGACAACAATTATCCATTCTAAACATGAACACACAACTTTATCATTTGAATCACTTTTATCATGGAATTTTCCGTCAAACATACAATTTGAAATAATTCTACTTATTGAAGTATGCTTGCAATTTAATCGTTTTAAGCATGTTATTCTCACAAACATAACATGTAAAGCTTAAATATCACATTCTCACATGGATAACATGTAATTTACACAATTAAGCTTTATCTAAGGCATGATAGTGACATGAATCTTCCATATAAATGATGAATCACTACAATAAGGAAACTATGCCTTGTTATCTCAACAAAACAACACACAAGGACTCACAAAATACCAAGGACTCCATTAATAAGACACCCCTACCTCTTGAATGCATAAACCCTAGCTTTAGCTCCTTGTGAAACTCCTCCAAAATGCAATCTATCACCACCAAAATGAAGAGGGGGAGAAGGAGACCAACTTTCCCTCTTGAAGACACAACAAAGCCCTCTTCAAACCTTGGCCAAAAATCGAAGAAGCCTCCAATGGCCCCCAAAATCAGACCATCATGTAGATCAAAACGTGCCTAACAACATATCCTCTAAGCCTTTCTCTCAAATCCTACTCGGAGCAAGACCCGAAATTTCAAGTGGCTCAAAAGGTGAATATGATGGCATCAATAGAAAGCTCACGACATGTAGGCTCAACTTCCCTTCTATCACTTCATTAAAATCATACAAGAAATGGCTCAAAAGTGAGCTTGAAAGTGTGTAACAATGTATAATGATGGAAGAAAATGATGAAAAAGGGAGAAGAAGGGTGGCTCAAAAGTGGTGGGGGGAAATCTACAAAAAAAAATGGGTATCTTGTCCCCCCACAAGTGTGATCAAATGGTTGACCCACCTTTGACCACCAAAATGACTAAAATGCCCTCCCACAATCAAATAAACCCTATCATGCCACATTGATGCAAAAACTCACATATACCTTCACCTATACACCAAATAATATATATAACATGTACATGAATCCAGAAAATAAATTTGAGCACAAAATTTTCGAGCGTAGGGCTGACGCGGGACATCCCGGCCCAAAAATCTAAAAATTGCTAAAATGCACCAAAATACATTTCTAAGAGTTCTAACTCTAAGAAATGTCCCAAATGACCACCAGAGTCTTCATGGCATGCTAATCGGGGCACGACACACAAAACGATGCATAAAAATAAATTACCAAAAATTAATACCATCATTGCTACCAGTTAGTCCAACACCGTTCCAAAAGAATACTTCCACACCTTAATCATACCAATCATTAAATGACACACACCTTCCTTGATATGCTTATCTGACTAGCGACTAGTCTCTGTTAACACATACTCACAAGAATGGTAACCTCGTCGACATCTAGGACCCGCCCACGCATAATCGTCAGCATGGTACCATCGTCAGTACCTAGCACCCGCCTATAGCGTTCTCACAAGTAAGGTGGCATTACCAACGTCTAGTACAGGCCTATGGCATATCCTCATTCAAGCTACTACGAAGCTTTCTGAAGTAGTAAGTGTCTCTAATGACATGAACAATCATTACGTTAAGCTTAACAATGTCCTGACATTTTGTTTCGAGTAGGGGTATGGTCCACAAATATCTGGCCAGTCCATTTTGGACAGTCCCATGCTCAAATAACAATGACATCGTCACCGATATGCTTAAGCCCTAAATCCCCAAATACTCAATCAAATCTACGTCATCTAAATCACAAGGCCTCTAAGACTCAAATCTTATAACAACTAGATCAAAAGCTCTTTAAGACTAGAGACTCGCAACTCAGAACTCGACTCTAACACCTCACTTGTATCCCAAAGGAATCAATACTTAAGACGTTCTCGAATCAAAACGAGTCTAGCCTATCAAGCAAATCCCTGACATAACCAATCCTTTTTACAAGACATAACTAAGCTACTAATAAAATGGTCACTCACTCATGCCACAAATATCTCAGTCCCGATGCTAGCCCGTAGCTACAAAACTCACAACCCACACACATACACATCTTCTCGTAATCTCAGCTATTAAGGCCATAACCCTAATACAATAACACGTAAAATGCAAACATGTAATGAACTCACCATAAAATTACCTACCTTTAGGTCATAGACCCGTCAGTAGCAACCACAATGCAAACCCTGTCATGTTCTACAGGGACATCCAATAACAATCATAGTCACCACCCAGCTCAATCCAAACCATAACTGTCAAAACCACTAGCACAAGTCAACCGCTTATCGCTAGGGAATAATTGTCAATTAGCCACCCCTGGTATGAGTTAACCACACACAGCCACCCTGAGCCTAGGTAAAGGACACCAAAAATAAGACTACCGCTTGTCTTCCGTAAAGTCACAAATTCACCTCAAAATTGTAAACCAATACTCACAAAACAATGTTGACCTCGGAATGGTCACTATCTGTACTCCCATGCATCAATGTAATGCATGTATGACAACTATGCCATACTCATGCACACCTTCCCACAACTGTGATCCCACATCACACTCAATATGTACCATACATACCTAATGCCTATGCAACTCATATACAAAATGTTATACAACACCCATGACTATGCCAACATACTACTATATGCGTCAATCCTACTACTCACCTTACTGATAGACCAACATACAACTTATGAAACTAAGTACATAAGCAACATAAGATAATAAAAATGCAAAGTGCATAAAAACCAACCAAAACACAAACTCTAAAAATACATAATGAAATGTACCTCAGTATGACTAATAGTCCTGGCTCTCTGTCCTCACTAACCACCACCACGGAAACCTGACTGGCTAAAAGATGCTCCAGGGGTAGCTTCCCTAGCGGGTCGTGAACTCTGAAAACCCTACTGAAAACCAACATTGTCAATTACACTACCACCCCTCAATAGACAGTCCTTCTTTCTGTGGTCTGACTCACCGCACTTGAAACAGACATTGGAACTAGGCCTGCCTCGTGGGCAATCAGCCCTGAAGTGACCTGGTTGTCTATAACGATAACACATTGCCTAGGTCTGATGAGACCCCATTAACATTGAAACAATAGGTGCAGATCGCACCATCTACTGACCCTGAGAAGAAGATGCATTACTATTATGCCTTTTCTCTTCATATCTCTCAGAAGAAACACCTTCACTCTTACTCTACCAATCATTAGCCTCAGCTTCAACTATCAATTCCTTTCTCACTGTCTCTGAATACACCCCTAATTCAAAAGCCGCCACACTCAGCCTAATAGAATGATGTAGTCCATGAACAAACTTCCAAGTCTTTTTCTGTTCATCCCTTACCACTTCACTAGCGAAGCATGAAAGAGAAGTGAACTCATTCTCATACTCAGCCACCGTCATATCACATTGCTCAAGGTGGTCAAAATTTATTCTCAATTCCCTCATTTTTGTCATCGAAAAATACTTCTCAAAGAAAAGCTCCTTGAAAGTATCCCAACTTATACCGTCAATGCCATGAGCAATAGTTATGGTCTTCCACCATATCCTTGCATCTTTGGTAAACTTATAAGTAGCTAATGTGATCTTCAACCAATCATTGGGCACCGCCATTGCCTTGAAATGCTTCTCGACCAATTCCAACCAATTGTCCGTAACCAATGGGTCCGGACCTCCATCAAACGAATCCTTCATAAGCTTATCAAACTAAATAATACACCGAAGGTTCCTTTCCATCTCTATCTCCTGTGGTTGAGGAATTGGCTGTTGTACCACTTGTGGAGTAGTGGTACGAGCCATAATCTGAAAAACTGAGGTCACAGCCCTCGTTAACAAAGCCTCATCTACCGGTACTTGTGGATTAACATCCATTTCTACACCTTGGCCCTGTCCCAATGGGACCCTGTCTTGTAGGGACTGCCCTTCACCCACTCCCTCTTCAACTCTACTCGGATCCATCTCTACACGCCGTCCTCAAGTACGGTGCTATAAAAGCAACAAGAAAATGGTCAAAAGTGACATTACGTCATATAGCTTAATCCATAAGCTAAGAGATTCACGCAACTCGTCCGATAGGGACTAAAACTCATGCTGACTCAAATGAGAAAACCCTACACTTTCCTAGGTCGCAACTTTCCACACAAATATACTATATCATTATACTTAACATAATTTTGGTAACAACTATAACGTGCTCCCTATAATAACCACACACC